GTCTGCATCGCCGGGCTGCCCTGCGGGCGGTGTGGCGGGGGCTGCCCCTGCCTGTCACGGCCGTTCTGCCTTTCCTTGTAATTTAAATATCTTTAACGATGCTGAATTCTCATTATGCCATCTAGTAACAATACTGTGTTTTTTTTCCTGCAGTGGACCGCAGTTCGAAGAGGAGACAAGTGAAGCCTTTGGCAGCTTCGCTGCTGGAAGCTTTAGATTATGATAGCTCTGATGACAGTGATTTTAAAGTTGGAGATGCTTCAGGTAAATATGCTTCCTCATCTCCTCGCTTCAGAATTATCTCATTTTTGTTTTATGGTTGCTCATTTAATATCATGTGGGAGACGGAATGGTATTAGTGAACCGTTGGGACTTGGAGCCACTTGAAGTTCAGTGACTCGATTGGATAACTGGAAATTCTCATGCTGTGGATAAGAAACAACTGATTAAACAAAACATCCATACAATACTTAAATTGCAATTAATTTTTTCTCAACAGAAAACTCATGTTTATCGAACAAGTTTTGGCAGAAGCATTTGAGTAGCTTCTGTGCTGACTACCTTAGCTATATCTATTGCTTTTTATTTCTTCAATGTAGAGATAATTTTTGAAATATTCACTGGATTTAGTATTGAAATAAGAATGTTCTAAAGCCATTTTGTTTTGAATCAGTCTGGATAATAGTTTGTTGTGGACTTAAGAACTTGCCTATTTCTCAAGGTTAATTCCCATTGGTGAGTGAAAACCTTAAGCAGAAAGGTTATCTGTTCAGGTTTTGATAGTTTTTTACAATAGACAAACTTAAGGTGTCCATTCAGATAGCTATGAATAAAGGTGTATGCATTTCATACTAGAAGGAAGTCCTTGCCTCAGAGTGTTTTTGTTCTGCAGTCTTTTCTGTGTGTGCAGATTCCTGTATCTGCAGTGAACATCCACAGAAACTGAAAGTAAACAAGATGCCAAAATAAAATTAAGAAATTCAAGTATATTGGAGGGAAGGGAAAGAAGGGGCACGACCATGTTTGTGAATAAACTGCACATTGGATGTTCTGTGGCGTATGCTCAGGGAAATAAGCAAAGAGATGCAGGATGTGTAAGATGTAAGGGAGGCATTATGACAGCTTGTTAAATAACTTCACTTTGTTATTTCTGCACTGGGGATGCTGATCTATGTTTTCACGTGAATGTATCTTGCAAAAATATTCCTCATCTCCCATTTAGAGGCTTATTTTTTAACATCTGGCAAACTCCTCCTTGCTAATGAACTTAAAAATGCTTAATGATCATTTTGCCAGTGCCAGTTTTAAGATATGCCCTAATGCTCCTTGTTTGTTTGTTTTTTTCCCTAGCTTAGACATATTTCTTTTGGTTGATGTGGTAGAAGCAGGCTGCAATGACTTAAGAGAGTAAAACTGATGTCGTCTTACCAATTTCATGCTAAGATTTTTGGGGGCTTAATTTACTTTTTTAATCTTGTTTTGGGGATTTTTGATCCTGTCTTTTGAGTAAGGGCACTGCCATTAGTAAAGACAATTTGCCGTAAAAGGAAATGACTTTTAGTACCCAAAGAAAATCTCCCTATTCTGGAACAGTAGTGTAGGTAGGATTTAAGGGAAAAGGAGAGTTGAAAATGGGGTATGGGAGATGGACACATAATGCAGAGCAATATATTATTTGATTAAAAGACAATCAATTAATTAAAAATAATGAATAAAGCATCCTGACTTATGTCTAAATGCAGAGGATTCATTTGTAATTGATATGCTCTTTGACTTTGAGGATAGCGTATGTGTATGTACACATGGTGGGGGATCAGTGTCTAGCCTTGAGAGTATTTCAATCTCAGTTTCATTTTGAGGAAGTTGGATGGGTTTTCCCTTAAAAAAGCAACACTGAATTGAAACAAGCGTATGAGAAAAAACTGAGTTCTACTTATAAAATATTTTTCTAATTACGGTTTGTGGTCATATATCTCATATAGCTTGTTTTAACATTTCAGATCCTATATCTATCACTGGTAGAAATTAATGTTCTGTTTAATAAAATTTAAAATTTAGTGAAAACACTCTGGAACAGCAGCACAGTTTGACATTTTACACTTTATTCAAAGATTTTCAAGGAGAAGTTGAAAGGTGAAAGGAGAAAGTTGTGAGAGTTTGGAGAAGTTGGGGAATAGAAAGTTATTAAACATATAACCTCTTAAGATGAAAGAAAAAAGAAACATTTGTTATGTGTAATATAAGTTAAATGGATAGTTGCAGGATATTTGAAACAACATCTGTGCTGATTTAAAATGAAGCTGGTATAACATAGCCTTAAATTTGGTTGTACCTAGTCCATTTAGATTTGGGTGGAAGAAGTGCTGAAATAAAGGGACTTTTTTACACACACATATAAATAAAATTGATAATTTCAAAGTTTTATATATATAAAGAATATGTGTGTACACACACAATCAGCCCTACTAGACAAATTCTAGATTGGTGCTAATAGAAAACAGATTTTTCTTTTTTTCACTGTGGATTCAGCCTTCAAAGCATAATGTGTATTTCTCTGTTACAGTCAGGGCTATTGCTCTTTTTCCTCTTTCAGTGACCGGTGAGGTCTCTCTGTGTGCAGCCTGTTGCAATTCAGTATTTAGTATTTGTTTGAATTCAGAATTTCATTGTGTAGTTTGCTTACAAAGGGAAATAAATGTGACAGAAGGAAGAAACAATCTTTCTACGTTGAAAATGACCATAAATTTTACTCATGCAGTCAGAAAAATCCCATAAGTATGGTAATTCCACAGCTCTGCAATGTATGTTTATTTGATTCACAAATGCACATATAGGTGTTTAAAAAAACAAAACAGATTTGAAAGTTAAAAGTTAAAGGACTATTTAAATACTGAAATAAAAGAATTCTGAAGTTGTTTACTCCTCGTTGATTATGTTACATCCATATGTATGAGCTTTAGGTTATTAAGTGATATGTGCTAGTAGACAATATTGTGCAAGTCTAGGAGGACTGAGCCCTGAACATTTAGGCTTTTACACATGTTCATTGTTCTATCAGATTTCTAGGAATTTGAGATGCAGTAAGGATTTGAGAAGTTGGTATTAAGTACTTCTAGGAAGGAATCAGCATTTCTGAATTTTTGTGTTCAGAGTCCTGATGTATTGGTAAATTTTTTTCATTACAGAAAATATTTCTAATTGCCTAACCTCCATTTCCACCAAAAAAAATCCATAGAAGATATGGCCTTTACTTACGATGTAGTTAACTTCTTTTCTTTTGGATTTAGGTCACACCAACAGGCAGTTACTGCCTTTTCCATTTTAAAGAGTTCATCATTCTGACATCTCTTTAGGGAAACTGATTTTAGAACTGTTAGATTCTTGTAAATTTACTTAATGTAAATAGTTTTCAGGCCTGTGGGCTTTTCATTATGTTACTATTGAATTAATTAATTTTTAATGGCTTCTCTGTTTCTACGTAATAGAAAGTAGTAATGCCATATTTTAAAGTACTGTATTTTTCTGTTTTTTATAAACATCTTGAAAAATTTGTTCCTTAAGTAAGAATGCATATGTAATCTTCATGGGGAATCAATCAAAAAACCTGTCCCTTTGGAGTCAGAGCATACAAATATGTGACTTGAAATGTTGGTACTGTAATATACTCAACTGAAGTTTTTTAATAATATGTTTCACAATACAGATCAGTTATTTGAAGTTTTGCTTTTAAGTTAATTGGAACATACTTTGGTTTTTTTGTTGGTGGGTTTTTTCTTAATTTTTTTAATTTTTTTTTTTTAATTTAATGAGAGCAACTGGAGATATACTGATGTCAGAAATCAGTGTATAGTTGTAGAGTAATTTCCAGCAGGATTCCAAAGCAAGGATTTACCACTTTCCTTCTCTCTCATCGGTGAAGTTGGTCAGTTTCAGCAGCTCATATACTGAAATTGAAATGATGCAGAGAAATGTAGTGTGTTCCCTGAACAAGAATGATGTGTGAATTTAAGGACTGGCTCTCTGTCTCAGTGTAGCTAAGAAGAGCGTAGCTGAATGCTGCCTTGAAGAACTGGATTCTGTCACTACTTCTGCTACAAGTCTCCCAGACTCAAATTTTTAGAGGCATTTGTAAATGTTTGTTTTTTTGGTGTTGAGTGTGGAGCCTGACTTGCAGAAATATTATGTACTATTATTGCAATTGAGGTCAGTAGGAGCTCTGTTTAAAACATGTAATAATCTATATAAATGCATATATTAGGTATTCTGAAAAATCTGTGACTTGATCTAGAAATAAAAAGTTGCAAATATCTTTATCTTTCTGTAATTTGTTTCCTCTTAGCACAATGGAGATTCCACTTTTGCTTTCCTGTACAGGATATTGTAATATAAAGAAATGTTTGCGAAGCACCAAAATACTATAGTGATAAACACTACTGAAATATTGATGAATAAACTAATATGTTTGTTTTTGAGAATAAACTTAAATGGTAAGCAACAGAAAAGTTGTAGGGTGTTTCAGTAGACAGTGAAGGTAAGAGAAAATACTGAATAGCTAATCATTAGTAAATGATCATGTAATTGTTACAATCTTAATTGTTACAATCATTTCAAGGCTTGACTTTGCAACTGTAATATGTAGTCCCTCAGAGCGGAATTCCCAAGGGCTTTTTCCCACTGAGAAAATGGAAAATACGGGCATTATGTTCTCTTGGGTTATCTTCATCCCAAGTGAGATCTTTTATCTGTACAGATGTCTGCTACTTGAAGTAACACTTTGGAGTGACTGACGAGCATTTTGAACTTGTGTTCTCTTTGGAAACGCTGAGATTTCTGTTCTTCTGTGTGTTTACTGACAGCAGAGGAGTAACGTAACAAATCTAGGCTTTCATTCCAGTGTCTGGGCAGGGTGGATGTAGTGATGGGGTGACATATTTTTTCTTTGTTTTCCCCCTACTGTGGCTCTTTATGCCTTGTCTTTCCAGCCTGTCTGTCACTTACGGAACCCTTGCTCATCGGTTCAGTGTCATTATGCTTGTTCAGTCAGTCTTGAACAGGATTTTCATGGTCTCCTGCTTTACTACTCCTACTTTACTTTCTCTTGCATCTCCACTTTTTTGTGCATATGTCCCATCTCTTGTGTATTTCCTACCGCTTGGAGAAGGTTCTGTGCTTTATTAATTCCAGCTTGGTGGGGTGGTCTGTTTGCAGCCTGGCCACCTCTGAGAGTCTAGACATGCTCAGTGAGGATGGGATATTTCAAGTGT